TTTCGAATCCGCTTTTTTTCACGATGATCGCGGGGGTGGTTGCCAGCCAATCGCAGGGCACACGAACAACCATCCGCATTCACAATCACACCTAGGGACAATTTCGAGTGTTCCATGAACCTGACATGCATGTTTTTGGGTGTGGGAGGAAACCGGCGTACCCGGACAAAATCCACGCAGGCACGGGGAGAACATGCAAACTCCAGACAGGAAGGCCGCTGTCGGAATCGAACCTTTGACCTCTGCAGTGTGAGGCAGACGTGCCAAGCAGTCGACCGCCGTGCCGCCCCGCAACAAAACTAAGAGTTAATAAATAATAAAATAAAGGAGGTAAAACGTACCATTTTGGTAATCAACAGGCAAACAACACACAATTGTACATTATGGAACATAAAAGTAATCGATGGAAATTATTTAGATCTTCAACCATGAATCATTATGGGGATGAGATCCTCTACACCCTATCGTACGTGCGAGTGCCGTCATGTATGCGCCAAGTTGTGTATGGTGATGTCACACGTGGACATACTAATGAAGTAGAGACGTTCACGTTGTCATGCAATACAGTCCCTGTAGCATTTTTATCTAATAAACCTTCCCCAGCTATTAGCTGACGTAGATCGGTGGGTGCTTTGTCATACCAATGCCTTGATTTGATTTCTTTGTCTTAAGACATGTGCAAAACTTTGAGAGCGTGCAAAATGTTGAGAGTGCGCTTCAGACCTGCACTGCTGGAGGGCAGCAGCAAACATCATAAAATACGACCGCCATCAATTCACATTGGTTTCCTTGCAGCGGAAAGGTCAATGTCAGCTGGCGGTGGTAACGCACCATTAATTTGGGTCTTGGGCCGGCTCTGTCCCTATGCCCCGGAATAGTGGGGGTCCACTGTATTTGCGTTTTTTGTGCTCTTTTTGAAACACCCCAAATATAGAGAGGAGAAATTGGTTTCACATTTTGTTTGTTTTGTATACGCGCCGGTCCATAATCTAATTATTTTGCTGACCCCCAATTTACGGCTTTCAGATTCTGCTAGTTGGAGAACCGCTGACTTTGAAAATGTGATCTATAAATAAACATGCCTGCTAATAGACACCTCCACCACAAGGTCATACGAGGGTGTGTGTGTGTGTGTGTGTGTGTCTGTGCGTGTGTGTGTTCACGAACTGCTGCAGTACCACAGATGGCCACTAGAAAGCTTCCCTGAGAAGGCCGATTGACGCTTGCTTGCCAAGAGGAAGAGCTAGCTGGCAGGCTGGCGGCCATGTTCACGCTCACGCTGATCTGCATGAGCCTCCTGAGCTGTTTCCATGACAACCCCCTCCCATCAGCACCAGCCGCCTTTGTGTCTCATTTGAATGCACCCTGATAGAAGACACACTGTGTGCGTGTCTGTGGAGGTAGAGTATGTGTGCTTGTGTTGTATTTGGAAGGAGGCTGCAAAAAAAGAGCACAGAAAGTGAGAGAGCAGACCTCCACCAAGGCTTAACAATTGTTACTTTAAAGGGGACATATTACAGAAAATAGACTTTTGAGTATCTCTATATAAATAGTTGCGTCTCCGGATTGCCTGCACACCAAGTGTGGAGTAAATGTTGTTTTTGTGTTTGGTGATGTGCTCATGTGCCACAGAAATGCTAAGACTTGGATCCCCAGTGAGGCTGAATAAGTTATCAGTTTCGTAAAAGACTCACCACTGACCCAGCATTATTATTATTACGAAAACCTGATGTGCTGGAGAAAATATGACGGTGAATTCCAAATCAGTGGGAACAAAAAAAAAAAACCCACCTCTCCTGGAGAAGTTTCATTATAAATGCCGGGTACATCTAAGGGTGGACAAATATAATGATGACAACAAAAATGGCTGACAAAAGATTAATTTAAGAGCTGATATCTAGCCATTTTCCACAGTTTTCTTGTAACCAAAATCAATGAAGTGTGTACATCATTCGGTACGACATTGTCCTGTAAAAAAACATTGCTTTTAGGCACACGACACACATTTAGTGACACCAGGAATTTAAGTAAAGAATAAATTGAAGAAAACAAGGTGGTCTAATATTTTTTTTTACAATGACTGTCCAGAGATGGTCTCAACTCCTCAGTAACCCACAGTAACGTTCGTCATTTTTTTGTAGAGGATTAACGATATATGCCTATGAGTATTGCTGTATTGTCTGTCTACGTGTGTTGCTATACCGTTTGTGTTCAAATATTGGTCGCTTGAAGGATTCTTACACCGCAGCACTGATGCTATTTGTTTGCCCTTCTATGGAGCTTTCCATTTTGTGTTCGCATTTAAGCTAGTGGTGTTTCAGTTTTCAACACACAATGTATAAATTCTCTCGCTTTACGTTTAGTTTGATTAAACTTCAACTGCAATGCAGGAAACCCCTTAAAGCCTCTTTTTTTGAAGAATTGTTCACGTTCCATCTGCCAAACTAGTGCTTGGTGTGAAATGTACCTTGTGCGCAGTATGAGTGCCTGCACTTCATGCAGTCATTAGTCTCTTGTGTGCAATTTACCAACAGATGGGGGGAGGACAGGCCCGTTTCACTGTCAACACTGTCATCGGGGCCAAGGTAGGTTGAGCTAAACCCAGTAAGATGTTTGTTTGTCCTATAAGCATTAGTTTTGAAAGTGTATTTGAGCTGTGTAAACAACATATACAGCAATATCGATCAATGACCATAGGAAATTATGCAGACTTCAATAGAGCTGCATTTACAAATTGAGCCCCCCTCCCTCGAAACATGAGGGTGAAACATGAGCTTTCTTCGTGGGAACCGGAGGGGAGGATGACAAAGTTATCCGAATGAGTCACGGCCGCATTTCAGCCGCCTGGGAGAAGCCTGCCACGCTTGTCAGCATTAGCGAGCGTCGCTCACGCTTAGCGCACGTTGACGAGCGCGCTCTTTGCAGCGGGCTGTCCGCTGTTGCCTAGCAACGCAGGCGCCGTGACCAGTGCTGAGTGTCAGACCCAACGAGGAAGGAGGCACCGGCGATTCGCACGGGACACCGTGCACTTCCTGATGGGGTGCTCCAAAAGATTGTGTTGCCAGGCAACTAAACTGGTGACAAATTTGGCCGATGACAATCGACGACTGCGCTCGTGCGTATGCGTCGTGTCCAAGTTTTCGCGACAATCATCAGCCGCTCATGTGCTGTAGTTCAATGAGTCCAAACCACTCTGTGACAGCACATCACCAGGAAATGATACAATTTAACTCGATTGCTTCAAAAATTATGACAGGGAATCCTACATATTGATGGTGAACAATTGACCAATTCACATTTTTTTTTTTGTGTTTTTGTGCTCTTTCTCAAATGTTCCAAGATTTTTGCTACAGCTTTAACAAAGCAGTACAGTAACTGGCGTCAAAGAAGTATACTGAAGTGAGACATCTTGACTTAGACAAAGGCTGTTGTCGGAAGAGATCATTTTAGCCTGGGTTGTTTTTTTTTTTTACAGAGTGCACCCATTGTACGTGGACATTTTTTTTTCGAAATGTAATACTGTAGTCTTATTTATTTTAAAGGGTAATGTTACCAAACTTTAACATTATATTATATTCAACTGCCTTGGGATAATAGTTTGTGGTATATTTATTGTTTACATTGTTACCGCAGGAAGCTGTAAAAAAAATTTAGGAAGGTGTGATTCTCACATGTTTGCTATTTGCAGCAGGACTTTGTAACTTCAACAAATGTTCATTGTTCATCTGTCTATGCCAGCGACATGTTGTGACAGGCAGAAGAAATCTCTTCCATTTGCGAGCAGAAGGAACGATTAACCTGTGAAAAAATGTGTTCTCATTCATACATCAAAATAATAGCTTTGTGTTACTATAAACAGGCCCAAATTTCCCATTTAGTGAGTAGATTTGCGAGTACATGGCGACGAGAGCCTCATTGTTTGAATCTATCTACTTTTTGATGATATGGACTGGTGAGGTGCTGTGAGATTTGTAAAGAAACACTGTAGTTACTTTGCGTCATGAAAGCTTTGGAGACAGAAGTTGGCCTCTCACTCTGCTCCATTCCCACATCCGAAACAGGACTAATCAACAACAATGCCCGCATGGAAGGAGAGGCACTCCAGCTGTCAATAACAGCAGCACACTAAGCCTAAACATCATAGACGTGTTTGGCCAAAGGATGCATTCAGCAAAATTTAGCATGTTAGCATAGCACCTGCAAAAGAGAAGCTGTGACGTTGCCATAACAGTCCAAAGTAGCACGAGTTAACCTCTAAAGACAACTGAATGTTGAACAATTGTTGGAATTTGACCAAGAAAAACACATTGGAAGGTGTTATTATATAACAATAAAGGCGACAAATGACGTAAAAGAGACTTTTTAATATCCTGGGATTTCTGCAGTGTGTGTTCATCCGGCAAGTGAGAAATTAAACAAGCAAGTCAATTGAGGCTGGCTCATTTACATGGGATGGCACCAGCCCCTCAAGGTGGGCTAATTTAAGCGCTACTAGAAATAAGGGGACAATCGCTACACTTCTTGACAACTAAAACTCGACAGCTTGGTGAGGAAGTGCTGCCTCTGCCTGTGAATGTATGCTTTTCTTTGTAATGTCTTTATGGGAAGCTTCTGCTTGCTTTGGACATTGCACTCATTCTTTTTTTAAGACCTGGGACTCAACAAGTAGTTCCGCCGCTATATGAGTGTGCATGCTTGTTTGCCTACCAAGCGACTGGCTTGCAACCAGTCAGGTTGGGATAGGCTCCAGTTCAACTGCGACCTAAATGAGGACAAGCACTTTTGAAAAACACTGAATGGATGGATGGAAAACTAGAGGGGGGAAATGTACTGTATCTGTTGATCCCTCGATGTATAGTGAGGAAAGCAAGTCACAGTCGTGTTGTAAAGGCACCTGCGAGCTGTTTTCAGTGGCGAAAACAAGATTTATGAACTCATTAGTGTGTGTTCTCGTGCGACTTGGGCGTGTGTGTCTCTGCAAACGTCAAGCGGTAACTTACGCTTTGTGGTGGTGCAGCGTGTGGGCGTGGTGGTTGTTGGCGGCGTTGCTTCTGTGCAGGCGCTCCAGGCGCTCCTTTTCCTTCTCCACAAAGTTAGTGTTGGTTCCGGTGCTGGTAGACGCCGCCCGACTCAGACGGCCGTGCCCCCGAGGCTGTTCCCGGGGTGGAATGGGAGGCGGCGGAGGGGGAGGAGCCGGTGCAGGGACCTGCGAGGTGGGGCCCGTGGCAGGAATGTGGACCGCCGAGGTGCTGTTGTAGTGGTGGTGCTGGTGATTGTGGCTGGCATTGAGTGGGATGGAGGTGGGAGGCTTGTTGTGGTGGTGGTTCTTGGTGGGAACAGAGGAGAAGTGAGTGGGAGGCGGCGGCGGGGGAGGAGGAGGAAGACGAGGCTCCGGAGGAGGTGCGGGTGGAGGCGGAGCAGCAGGCTGGCGGTCCAAGCGCAGGTCTTTGTTCTCTTGGCTGAGGCGGTCTAGCTGGACCTCCAGCTCATCAATGCGCCGCCTCTGTGTTTCCAGAAGCTTCTGCTGGCTTTCGATGATGTTGTTGAGTTCAAGCAGGTACTCCACCGCACGATTCGGACTTTCTGGGCTGCCCTGGCCCGCACCTTGATTCGCGTCCATAGCTAACTGCAAACTTGATGTCAAAAAAAGACGGAACCTACAAAGCCACCAGTGAGAGAAGCTAAAAAAAGAGTTCCTACTTGAAGTTCTCAGAACATCTAAAAAAACAAAACAAAACAACAACTACACGACTAGTAGCTAACTAAGCCCCGCCCTCCCCCCCACTGGCAGAAAGTGGGGGGGAGAGTACTGGTTCTTCTTCAAGGTCTGATACGAAGATCAAGATGGATCTGGCACTCTCTGGCGCTGATCGGAAGGCTTGGCGGACTCGTGGAGCATTTCCACCTCAGTCAGGATTCTCCGGTGGCCTTCACATCCGCGACGGAGGAAGACTCAAAAGCCATGATGGAAGAAAAACAGGACAAAATCAAGCAGTGAAGGAATTCACTCCAAGCCGAGGTCCAATCAATTAGTCACTTGTATCCGCTTTAACGCCAGCAGGAAGGTCTCAGCGTGGCCATCGTTCAGCACGTCGTCAAAATTAGATGTCATTGTTCAAGTGTCCCATTCACATGGCAGCTTTTCGAACCCCCCCCCCCAAAAACAACAACAACAACAACAAAAAAAAAGCAAGAAAACTGTCAGGCAGATTCCCGCATGGGGAAATCCTTCAGGTGCCAGAGAGCAACCGGAGAAGGAGTCAATTCAATCCTTCATCTCCTGACACGGAGAAATGCTTGGCACGCCTCATCCCACAGCTGCTGCAGATGGATGTTCATCCGCTGTCGTGTCCGGGATTCTCCTTCCGGATCCTTCTTGGCAGCACGCATCCGTTCCATGAAAGGCAAGAGAAGAACATGAAAAGATGAGCACCCTGGCAATCATCACAAACATCACTGTAGAGCTGCTACCAATCGAATATTTTGGTATTTGGGAATCCGAATGAAAATTCTTTCAAACAATTTGCCGGCTAAAACAGCACATTTGAGTTAGCCTGGTTTGTTAACAGCTCATCAGTAGGAACTGCAACTGTGTCAGGATGTCAGCATCAAAGTGAGCAGAGTCATTTTCGCCCAATAATCGCCTTTGAAAAGCAATCCGGCAGCTCTTGCCAGCCAAAACCGAGCGCTCTCTTAGTGGCTAGCCGCTAACACTGGTAACACGCCATATTACACAAGGTCAGCGTAATTAATTAGAGTTTTCGAGTGCTTGATTAGCCACTGAACATGATTTCATTGATGTTGTGCTGATGTTGGTGGCAACAGTTAGTGATGGCAATGTAAACTGGGCTCTGACTATGGAGGCTCTCTCGTCTCTTCAGTTAAGTCAGACGCCACCCCACGACCAAGAATAACTTCTAAATAGGGCATTGGTGTCCATGTATGATTTGATGAGTTTGTATTTTGAAATTGGCCTTCAGCTGGCCATATACCATCATGTATCACAAGAACAATTGTTGTTCTGACTGGCTTCACTGTTTTCCCCACCGTGCATACCAAATAAATGTATACTTGAGGTAAAAACAAAAACAAAAACCCACCAACAACAACAACAATAACAAAAACTCAAGTATTTTTGGGGAATCGAGGTACTCATATGACTCAAGGAGTCATTTCACCTCTAAATCATGGCCGTTATCCTTCTTTTTGTCCAATCCATATCACTCTCAATAAAACGAAAAACACCTCTTGTGGATGCTCTGTGCAATATGGCTAGGGTGACAATCAAAATGCGCTCCCACTGATAATCTGGTGTAAAAAGAACAAGTTGGTACCTCAAAAATTCTTCTTGTTGAGGAAAATTATCATACCTGCCTGTTCAGGCAATGGCCGGCAGCATTGTGGACATATTCATTTCAGCAGACCAGAACACATGCTGGTTTAGTAAATAAAACTACTTTCTGTATGCAAATGTTAGCTTGTGATCTGCATTTTATTTGACCCACCGTTTAAATCTGTTAACCCTTTCTGGGACAGTGGTCACCGTAGTGGAGAGCTATTTAAAAGTGTCTCACTCATTAATCAACCCCCTCCACTCTCCAAATCCCGATATATGTTATCATAATTCATCCATTAAATTATTATTTTGTCATAATTCTATATGTTGCTTTTTACTTTGATTTGTTCATGCTTGCGTGATGAAAGTGGGCAAGATTATGTCCACATATTAGTTCATGAAACCATGACTGTGAATGGCATGATAAACAATGACTTCTCGGCCATGTTGCTCATGGTGTAAAAGTAATGATTTTGAGTTTGCATTGAGATAAATTAAGAAATTGTTTTTTAACCCCGTGCAATGCAGGTACACTTCATGTACACTTGACATGCGTTGTGTTGTAAAAACGAATGCATGCCACAGGTTTAAAACCCATGCATGGCATGCATTTGTTTTTGCAACACAACGCATGTCAGGTGTACATGAAGTGTACCTGCATTGCACAGGGGTTTTAAAATACGCTGATATAATAAATTGTGGCAGAGTATGAAGGGACCTAAGAAAACTGCATCCGTGTGAAAATGACGGGAAAGCCGCCCCCGAGTTGCCCTCAACTGTACTTATGGAACCTGAGTAACCTTTTTGCCATTTGGTAGCTCACGATTGATAGTCCCAAAAGCAAACCTACTTCCTGTTTACACACTCGTGACCAATCGGAGAAGTGAGTAATGTCGGCTGATTTGTGGCTGTTCTACACTGGCGATCTTATCTGCGCGTACAGCGTGTTCTTCTCGGCGTGCATACGCGTGTAGGTGGATATACCGCTTCTCACGCGGCCTCATTTACGCCTTCAACGAGCGCATACGCGCGCACTCGCACGCACACGGTCGTGCAGCAACTGCAAAATGTCGCATGCTCGAGTGCACACGACACGGCAGTGAATCCGCGCGCGTGCACGCACACAACAGCGCATCCGTGAGCCGCGCGGTCACGACGAGAAAGGACGCAAGAGTGTGACAGCTTTGACGAGGATGAGGAGGGTTATTGATGATGCTCACATGCTACGACTGATGTTGCTGCGTCCTTCCTGATGGTCTTCAAGTCCGTTCTGCTTGATCACTTATCATCCTCCTCATCAACACCATCATTCCTCTGAGCCGCCGCTGCAGTGCTGACAAAAAAAGCGTTCCTCTTCCTCCTCCTCCGGCGCGCTGATGAAGAGGAGGCAGAGAAAGAGGAGGAGGTGCTGACTCCAGACAGAATGCCAACTGGGAAGCATACGAGGACGCGCGCGCTCGCGAATCTAGGAGTGAGTGTCGCGCACGCGCATTGCGGACGAGCTCGAACCTGTGATTGAGATGATAAACGCTGACGTAAATACGCCCTTCCACACAACTATCTGTCCACGTGAAAACACGCTGACAGGTGGCGCTCGAACCGTAAAATTATTTTGCCCAATCGAAAACCAATTAATAATCTCTCCAACATCACCATTTCCAACCTCAATAGCATAGGTGCCCTAAATGTTCACCAAAAACGAGATCAATGTTTTCTTCCCAAAAATGACATTTAACATTGTGGGAAGCCACTGTGACATTATTCACAGTCCAAACATTAACATTGCACTGACTACAAGAACGTAAAGTAAGTTAAATTCAACTGATTCTGTATTCTTTCACATACCTCTCAAGTGGGCCGCATACCATATTTTGAGAATCCACAAAGAACGGCGCTGGGAGGAACTGTTAACAAAAAAGCTTATGCCCCTCTTGCAGGATGTCCCTTTAACATGCAAATTCATCTATTAGCGATGTGTGACATACTGTATATGCCTCAATATTTTCCGTCAACTGAGGGGTGAGGGTGGGCGCGGCTGTAGATGGCCCGCCCCCATGTGCCTTTCAGAGTTGGAGATTGGTGAGTTGATGTGTGATGTCCACAAGCGTGCCTGCATGTGAGTATGTAGGCGTGAGCTGTGCTTGACAGCAGCTCTTGTGTGAGTGTGGATGGAAAAATATATTTATTTAAGGGTTTAAAAGTCTAAACATAAATTAAAGTTAAATGTTAAACAAAAAATGATGCAGCTAATTTGATGAGAACTGTTAAAAAAAGGCAGATATTCTACCCAGCGGTACGATAACAAATGTCGCAAGATATCAACTTAAGTTTGCACGACTGTCCGTGTTAATGTTATGTGTTGTGTTTATTATTTTACTTTATGTTAACTGTTTTGTTAAGCACTTTGTTACAGCTGCGGCTGTTGTGAAAGCGCGATATAAATCAGGATGTATTGTATTGTATTGTAAGTAACAAAACCACAGACAGAGAAGGGTTTGAGACCTTGCCCTATGTATAGGTAATGTTCCTCACAAAACTGATCCAATGCTAACATGCCAAAGATTTTATGCTTACATACAGACAGCAACAAAAAGTACCAAGCAAGGGTTTGAGATATTGCCCTGCATTGCATTAGAACTGGGGAACTAAACCATCCTTTCTGTATGATAATCAACAGACGCGGCAGTTGCTTGTTTTCTTTCAAATTTAGATTATAGCAGACATGAGTAATGTCTTGCATGCTGTGATCATGGCATCTCGAATCAACTAGTGAAAGGAGACTTTGAATCGCTCCTGGAGTGAATGGAGAAAAATATTTTGTGGATTATTGCGATGTTTGTATTAATGTGACTGTTTTATCTCCCATGCTCTGTAAAGTGCTTCGTTACAGCTGCAGCTGTTGTCAAAGCGTAATAGTGCATGCTACATAAGTAAAGCTGAGTTGAGTATTCAGGTGCTATTTCAAAGGAAAATTGCCACAATGTTAACATGCTAACATTGGGATGCGAATATGGAGTAAAACAAGATCGAAATCTGTGGTAGAAATGCGCAGAGCCAAATTGCTAAGGATTTCAACCTTGTTCTGTATTTCATTAGCAAATTGAAGAAAATTGCTGAAATGCAAACCGTGAGCGTGAGTGGGCAAATGAAGAGCAAGATGGCAACCTGATGGCATCTAACTGATGAGTTTAGTGTCCCAATACTTGTCCCAATACCTGTGACAGTCTACTTGTGACAGTCTAATGTACACAATGACTGCAGTTCTCTGCATGATGCCAGGCAACGAGCAACCATAAGAAC